GATCAGAAAGGCATTTTAGGCCAAATTTTTTAGATCATAAAAAAATAAGCAAAGTTGAATAACTTCATAACTTATAAGCTCTGGGAATATGTCTAACACTGCTGGAATAGAAAGAACACTGGGTCCTACCTCACTTAAAAGCTATGTGGCCTTGGGCAGTTATCTAAGACCTATTGAGCCTCCTTGGGTGGACCTCTCTGAGGCTCCCTTAAGCAGTACAAGAATCTAGGATTCTAAGTGTGGCCTCGAGGCCCCTGTGCAGTTGTGAAGGTGGATGTCAAAAATAACAATACAAGGCCACCCAGGGCCATTTAAGGGACACAGACAAGGGCTGCAAGAATTCAGTCTTTGCCTCTGACTCTAAAGGGACTGAGGAAGGCTTCTGGAAGGGAAGGGATTAAACACGTAGGACGTAATACTGCAGCAGGCTCAGCACAGTTGATCCCTCCCTTGAAGAGCTGGGATGTGGCCAATCAAATATTTTAAGATGTCAACTTGATCTGTGTCAACATAAGCATCAACGGAAACTAGTTTCCAAAAATAAATGATAACTGCTACCTATCAACCTCTGTAAGTGCATGGATTTCTCAAGAATGGGGCCATGTTCTGTAATACTATCCACAGCTGGTTCTGTAGGACCGCTGCTTCTTGATGATCAGCTGAGGGCAAGGGAGAGAGAGGAAGGAAGGGGTGTGAACGCCCTACTTCAAAGGTTGAAGTCTCCCCAAAATGTTAATACATGCACAGACAAGAGCTTGAGAAACAGAAACTAAATTTGTAATAGTGGTTCTTCCTGATGATACTGGGCATGTTTGTTTTCTTTTTGCTTATCTGAATTTTCCATTTCTCAGCAATGAAAATGTATCAGTTGTGTAATACATTTTTTATGCAAATACATTTGGGAAGGGTAATGCATCACACTAGGATCAATTAGTGATACCTTAAGATTAATTAATGGATGCGATTTGTTTCCTACAATGAAGTGGTGATGGGAAATGGATTTTGTTAGGTCTGGGGTCTGTGTCAAGCAATGGAAAGGGGAAAGGGAAGGTGTAGAGATTCTAAAAGGGCAGTAGGTGGAGAAGCCTCACAGTTAGCTCACATTATGCTTAGGCCTGCCAGGCCCTCCCTGTTACCTCACAGGTATTTAACTAAAATTAAAGATAGCAACAGTTTACCTTGTTCATGCAAGCCTTGCCCAATTATTCTCTTTATATATGATTTATCCTTAGATTCAAACTCTAGCTTCCATAACAAACAAGAAAAGGTTCGTGGATTTTAATAATTAAAAAGAAAATTTTTTTTAATGTTTATTTATGTTTGAGAGACAGAGAGAGACAGAGAGTGAGCAGGGGAGGGGCAGGGAGAGAGGGAAACACAGAATCCCAAGCAGGCTCCAGGCTCCGAGCCGTCAGCACAGAGCCCAAAGTGGGGCTCGAACTCACGGACCACGAGATCATGACCTGAGCGAAGTCGGACGCTAAACCGACTGAGGCACACAGGCGCCCCCAATGATAATTTTAAAATAAACAAAGGATTCTTCCCCAAACTTTTTGCATTTTGTCTTCAATCAAACCTGTCTCTGACAAAGTATTATTTTACAATTTCATACTCTGCAATATGTGGACCTTTCCCGGAGCCCTGGTGCTAGGACTCCAGGAGTTGTAGAGTTGACATAATTAAATGCAAGGAAACGATCACTTACACCGTGAATTTAGATTGGTTATGCTGATCATCTGCCTCAACGTTACCTGGAAAGGAAGAATCTGCAAAGGAAATTTACACTGTAAATAATACTGGGGACGGGACAGCCTGTTTGCAGGAATCTGGTTACCTAAAATATAAGCAATTAATAACCTACCGCAAATCATTTTATGTATTCCTCCAAGCCTGTCTTGTGTGCTTGGCTCCCAGGGAACAAATGTGAAGAGATGGAAGGAGGGGTGGAGGGGAGTATGCAAGTAAGTGATCCCTAAGGACCCAAGCAAAATTTAGACATTTGTTTGTTTATTTAGGGAGGGGAGGGGGAGCGAGAAAATCCAAAGAAGACTCCATGCTCAGCATGGAGCCCGGCACAGGGCTCGATCCAACGACCCTGGGATCATGACCTGAGCCGAAATCAAGAGTGGGTTGCTCAACCAACGGAGCCACCCAGGCGCCTCCAAAATTTAGACTTTTAAAGTAAATTTGAACTATCACCTCCAAGTAGTTGGAGATACTGAGGCTTGAAGGAACAACATTGAAGATAGTGACTTCTTTAATTGAATCTGAGATACCATTAATTATAAGATGCCTCATACTTTGATAGAAAAAAAAAACCCACCTCCAACGAACTGAGGCACGGCAAACGTAAAATGCATTCTAATTTTTAAAATATTAAAATATGGAGGAAAAAATCTATCTTAGCACCAGTGAAACACAGTATTGCCTTGGCACCTTGCCCCCACCTCTCTCTGATGGGGAGAAGGGCTTCTAACAGGATATGTTAGACTTTCACACTGGGACACCATTTCTCGCCAACTCACTTAACTGTTAAAACATTGAGATCTGTCCTTCTTTGGCAGCAGCGTGTATCTGTACTCCAAGTTCCTGTCAAAGTCTGTAATCCCCATTTCTCTCCCATTCAGCACTCAGCAAAAACTGTTGAGAGACATCATGTTTTCAGGACTGCCTGCAGGGTTGCGGCCCATCCATTTTTCCCTACTCTGTTCACCCTTGGATTGAGCCAGATCAGCAGAGAGCAAAGTTCCGGAAACAACTAGGTAATCCCTCATGGAAAGGCTTTTACAGACTCTCCCTCTGGCATCCTGCCTTCTGCCCACATCGGGGACACTGTTAGAAACAGCCTGTTACACTGAATCTGTTGTCAAGGACACAGTGTCCTCTTCATGAGGGTCCACTGAAGACATTTTCCAGGTCTTCATACCAGGGATTTTTAAAAATAAACTTTTAAGGAGTGCCTGGGTGGTTCAGTCGGTTGAGTGTCTGACTCTCGATTTCAGCTCAGGTCATGATCCCAAGAACGTGGGATTAAGCCCCACACTGGGCTTTGCACCAAGCGTGGAGCCTGCTTCAGATTCTCTCTCTCTCCCTCTGTCTCTCTCCCCCACTCATAGTCTCCGTCTCTCTCTAAAATAAAAAAAAAGTTTCTAAATATAGACTTTTAAAATCGAAGCAGAACATATAGAGAGAGAAGTGTACCATTTGTAAGTGTACAGCTGAATGATCAGATTATAACCACCATGCAAATGAAAAATAAATAGACTAACAACATCTCAGAAATCCTCTCATGACTTCTCCCTATCAGTACATCCAACTGTCTTCCCCAAGGGCAACCTTTATCCTGTTTTCTTTTTCCTTTTTCTTTTTTGTTTTAAGTTTACTTAGTAGAGGGACACAGAGAATACCAGGCAGGTTCCTTGTGGTGTCAGCACAGAACTGTGAGATTGTGACCTGAGCAGAAATCAAGAGTCTGATGCTTAACTGACTGAGCCTATCCTGTTTTCTAACACCACAGTTTTACCTGGTTTGGGACCTTATATAAACAAAATCATACAATACATATTCTTTTAGTCTGGCTTCTTTTGTTCATCATTGTAAAATTCATCTGCATTGTTGTAACACTAGTTGTTAATTTGCATTGGTTTCTAGTCCGCCGTGTGTCTGTATTACAATATATTCATTTAAGGTGTTTCCAGTTTGGGGTTATTAAATGAATAATGCTGCCATTCTGGTGCATATAGTAAGCACTTCTGGGAGGTGTATACCTAGAGTCAGATTACCTGGTTCTAAGCGCGTACACGTCCAGTTTTAATAGTTATTTCTAAACAGTTTTCCACTTTACGTTCCCACCGGCGCTGCATGAGAGTTCTTGTTCCACCTCGTCACCAACACTCCTCATTGTCAGTCTTTTTACTTTTAGCATTTTGTTTATTTATTTTTGAGAGAGAGACAAGAGCATGAGTGGGGGAAGGGCAGAGAGAGAGAGAGAGAGAGAGAGAGACACAGAATCTGAAGCAGGATCCAGGCTCTGAGCTCTCAGAACAGAGCCTGATGCACAGAGCCCGACACAGGGCTTGAACCCACAAACTGTGAGATCATGACCTGAGCTGAAGTCGAACGCTTAACCAACTGAGCCACCTAGGTGCCCCACTTTTACCATTTTGATAGGTGTGGAGGAACACCTTATTGTGGTTTCCTAAATTCTCATCTGTATATTCTCTTTCATGAAGTAGTTATTCAAATATTTTGTTAAGGGGTGCCTGGGTGGCTCAGTCGGTTAAGTGTCTGACTTTGGCTCAGGTCATGATCTCATGGCTCGTGGGTTCGAGCCCTGCGTCCGACTCTGTGCTTACAGCTCAGAGCCTGGAGCCTGCTTGGGATTCTGTCTCCTTCTCTCTCTGCCCACCCCCGCTTGAGCTCCGTCTCTCTCTCTCAAAAATGAATAAATATTTAAAAAATTAAAAACAAAAAACCACAAAAAACATAAATATTTTGTTAACTTTCGATTTGACTTTCTAATCGACTTACAGGAGTTCTTTATTCAGGATGGGTCCTTTGTCAGTAATATGTACTGCAAATACCTTCTACCTTCTGGGTTCCTTTTCTACTCTCTTAGTGGTGACTTGATGAACAGAGTACTTTTAGTGCAGTCAAACTTATTGCAGCTTTTTGTATCCTTTTGTGTCACCTGTCTGTGTGAAACTTGGTCCATTTCTAATCTACTCACAGGGTTCTGCTACTATCATATCTGTTGGCTTCACAAATTTGATAAAGGACAAATGTAAAATAGAAGCATTCATTTCATGTCTGGTCTCACTTTGGTAACCGAAAGATAAGTGAGATGATTAAAAGCTGAGGCAAGTGATGAGTCACTAAATTCCATTTCTGAAATTATTATTACACTATATGTTAACTAACTTGGATTTATTTACATTTTTAAAAAAGCTGAGGCAACAATATGTTCTTGGAATAAAAAATTAATATAATATGCTCTATAGCATTTTATGATCATTGGCTTTAATAATGTGGAACAATTAATAGAGCCATAAAAGTGTATAATTAAAGATGTTATTATTACAAGTTAAAATTTACTCTCTGTTCCCCATATTGTCATTTAATTGAAAAACAAAAACAAAAACAAAAACAAAGACTTGCCACCTTGCAATCAATTTGAAATAAGCTGTTGAGGAACAACACTATAAAAGGAAAGTATACACTGGAATGCATTACATTTTGGCCAAACAAGAAGGTTTGATCCATTCTGGCTTATAAAGCAAGAAACCAGTGTTTGTGATTTTGAAAAGTCACTGAAACTTTTTCCCTGAATTGGTTCCTTTGTAATACATTTTCTTGAGTTCTACCCATGACTGACACAGTAACAGTCCTGGGATCAGAACCCACACACTATTGAAAAATACCAGATAGACCCCAAAGTAGAGCCAACTGTTGGTGTTGAGGTTGGGGCTTCCCATAAGCCAGTCCGGGAAGAAGGTCATCCACCCGCCATATAATTCACACACGCACAGGGTAATCTGTAGGAAATGCCTGTTAGAGAGAAAGAAACAAGGGATGAAGCTGCCAGCTCAGCCCAGCCTGTCACCCTGAATCCTGACCTCTTTTCTTAAATGGCAGCATTTACACCGTCTTCCACAGCAGAAGACCTCTCTGAAGTTGGACCTCAGGTTTCCCACAGTGCTCCTTCAATGGGGCAAGTCAATCTAATTCATGGGAGATCCATGCTTTCTCTGGAGAAGCAATACTGCCCTTCCTGGAAGATTATCCTCAGAGTTAAATAAAGTCTCTCAGGTATCCTGTTCCACTCTTAGGAAGATTTATGGAGGTCACATCTCACCCAGCAAAGAGAGACCTAGATGCGAATCTTGCTACAAGCCACAATTTTACTGGCTGTAAAAGGGGACAGTAATAACAGTTCCTTCCTCAAAGAATATGGTGGAGAGTAAACGAGATACGTGGATATGTAAGTACTCAACAATGCAGATATTATAGATGGTTCAAGTACTAAACAATTGGGTGCATGTAGTAAATCTACAACCAAGATCATAGAGACAAAGATATATCAAGACACCAGGAAGAAATTTAATTTTTCCTGCCAACTATCTAAGTAAAATTGGGTGGGAGGAAAGTGGACTAAATGACCTTAGAGGTTTCGTTCAAACCTGAAATTTTGTGACGAAGCTTTAAAAAATACTTCTTTGATTCAAGACACTAAACAGTTGAATGCAATCGTGCCTATTTGACATTGTTTTGGGAATCATCCCCAGGATGGCATCCTATTTGCCCTACGTCACTTTGTCTGAAAGAAGGAAAGGAAGGGAAAGGGTAGGAGGGAGGGAAGAGAGTTCAAAGTCTCAGAGTCTGACTGACAGTGGTTAATCTTCCACCTTTCTCCTCCCTTTCCTCTCTCCTGCCTTCCTCACACCCTCCACAACCTGTTTCTGAAAAGATTTGTCCTGCATATCTAATTCCAAATTAAGAGAATTTACTTGGTGTAAAGTGAAATAGGAGTTTTCTTTTTTTTTTTTAAAGGTTTTTTTATTTTTGAGAGAGACAGTGCGAGTGGGGGAGGGGCAGAGAAAGAGGGGAGGGACAGAAGATCTGAAGTGGATTCTGGATGCGGCCCAAGCTCATGAATGGCAAGATCATGACCTGAGCTGAAGTCGGATGCTCAACCGACTGAGCCAACCAGGCGCCCCTGGAATAGGAGTTTTCAAGATTTGGGGGGCGATTGGGAAAGGGTTGGAGGCATTACCCTTTACTTTCCAAAATATTGGTGAAAAATCATCCAATGCTCTTCACACTTCCTTCCTCGTAGAATGACTAGGTGGTCCCTACAATCCTATTTCCTATCATTTTTATTTTGAATCATCTGAAATTATCCTGGTGGCACCACGCTTCCTATCTAATATTGAACAATTTTCATTTCTAATCTAACAAATGAATGTGGTCCTAATCTACTCGAGACAGCTAATGTTTCTCCTCTCTTCAGCAGGCCAGGAGAAGAGCACTTACCGATAATATTTCTCTTTGACTATGGCATAAATGAGGACCAATGCCAGAGACCCATCCAAGACAACAGTCAGAATTTCCAAAGACACAATGGTTGGGTCAAAATAAAGCCATCTTGCATCAGCTTTGCCATATTCTTTCCCTAAAAGTGAAATACATTTTGTTACTCATCTGGCAACTATTTTTATGACAGTCAGTGAAAATGACCTTTTTTTCCCCTAACGAGGAGACAAAGAGAGAAACTGTCACTCCCTACGCTGCCCATAATGCCTTAGAGGAAGGCAAGAGGAGAACGGAGGCTGAAACGCATTTACCGCACAAGTACTAATAACAATATCTTGGTATATTTGTAAAAGGATTTCGTTCCCAAAGTGCTTGCATACATGTGCCCTTTTCACCCCTGCTATCATTACTATAAGCAACAGAATTCTGAATTAATTCAACACAGCCAGATTTTGCAAAGACCATCTCTAATAATTAGCTTGTTAACTGTGTTACAGTTCCTTACTTCAAAATTCCCATATAAAGTCTGTAGGTATAATCTAGATGTGGGAAAATTATTATTAAGGAAATGTTTATTAAAAAAACATGTGTTTATTAATAATTGAAGAGAAATTGAGCCCTGTACTGGCAGTGGGGAGGTTCGGGGGGAGGAGGGTGGAATGGTAATGACACAGAGAATGAATCCCCCACATGGACAAAGGGGATGTTTCAGTCCAGACAGGAGTCACCAACAACAGACACCACAAAGGCCTCAAATGTGTTCACCCTTTTGGGAGTGGGCATGCCCTAAAAGATCTTTCCAGACCCCATTATCAGGATTGTTTCTTCTAGAAAAAATGAGGTGAGAAAGTCTTTTTAGAGCAGGACTGAGAGCCATACACTGGGAGAGCCAACCCACCCTTCCTTCCTTCCTCTCTATTTCCCTCTCTCCCTCCTTCCCTCTCTCCCTCTTCCCTTTTTTTAATTTATCAAACTAATACATGCCAGTCCTAAGATCTCAAATGATCAGAGTAAAAAAAATCAAAGTCTCGGGGCACCTGGGTGGCTCAGCTGGTTAAGCGTCTGACATCAGCTCAGGTCATGATCCAATCCCACAGTTGGTGGGTTCGAGTCCTACATCAGGCTTTGTGCTGACAGCTCAGAACCTGGAGCCTGCTTTGGATTCTCTCTCTGCCCCTTCCCCAGCTCACACTCTGTCTCTCTCTCTCAAAAATAAACATTAAAAAAAACATTTTTAAATGAAAGTTTCACCTCTTCTCTCCTTTCAATATTATTCTCACATTATTTAGACAAGATATGAATCATCAAATATTAGCTACATAATCGGGATTGGTGAAGCAGCAGGACAAAGCTCTAGTCTCCATTAATGGCCCAAGGTAGGATCCCTCAGGGCTAGGGACAACAGGTTCTAATGAAAGGCTGTCTTGGCAGAAAGAAAGGCCAATAAACAGGATTAGTCATTTAATGAGATAACACACAGACACAAGCTGAGCAGAGACTCTGAAAGGCCAGACAGGGCCAGCAGGACAGGCAGAGCTTTCCTGCTAGTCCTTAGCCGACCGCCAGCCCAGGAATGAACTGAAAAACAACATACTAGTGAAAGGAAGCTTTTCCTGTAAATCTAAACACATACACAATACCTGAAGTGTTCCCTCTAGTGCACCCCAAGTCTAAGGAAGTGTCACTTAAGAAAAATGTCAGTGCTTTAGGAACTGAGAGATTAGTAGTTGTTTAGACACTCAAAAATAACACCATTCATTCATTCTTTAATTCAACAAATCTTCTGGAGCATATGGAAGGTTCTGTGCTGGGCCTGGGGAATGTAGCATCAGCTAGGGCCTAGGGCACAGGTGGCCCTCTGGGAGCTCCCGTTCCATGAGGTTGGACCCTGTCGTAAGTGATGGCAACTGAGCATGGGACATGGAGGAAGTGACACTTTAAGCCAGATGAGGGAGGTGAGGTGTTTTGATCACTTCTTCTTCCCCCTGTTGGTGAGGGAAGGAGTCCCACCCTCGGGTTATAGGGACGGCCACACAAGACAGGTGGCACTGGATAGATGAGGTTGATGGCAACTTACTAGTCACACACACTCACAGCCTGGGGAGAGATGACACTGCACCACACAGGGCCGCACGGGGTGGGGTGGGGGGTGCACTTAGAGACGGAGTGAACTAGGAGGGGCCACAGGAGCCAGTTCTGCAGTGACAATGGGGTGGCCCCTGGTTCCTGAGGCAAGATGGGATTGGCTTCCTCCAATAATTTGGGGGGCTGGCAAGGAACTGAAGCCCACTTGCTCCTCAGGGACCCGTAGGCAACATGCCTGGTCCCTGTGACAAGGAGGGTCGCTTGGCTAGGGGACCTCACATGAGGAAGCAGAGTGGGGTTCCTCTTATGGTTAGGCCATGTGAGTCCCTCCAGATTTTATCAGATGTCAAGGCACACATAATATCAGATTTTAATCTCGGGCCTTACACCACAAGAGGTGACCCACGAACTGGGTGAAGGAGAGGGTGCTTCAGGGAGGAACACGCGCGCCACAAAGGCCCGGAACGGAGGGAACACGGTGTGTCTGAAATCACATTTAGTTCAGCAGAACTGAAGGAGACTCTGTGTGTGTGTGTGTGTGTGTGTGTGTGTGTGTGTGTGTGTGTGTGTGTGTGTGTATGCATGCCTGCACGCGTGTGGATGGGGCCCGGGGTCACTGCTGGAGAGGAAGGTGGTCCCAGCGCATCAAGCCTCTGGCATCTCCTCCTCTGCCACCTAACTCTGGTCATTTTTTCTGTTGGTTAAACACCTAGATAGCAACAGGGCAAACAGAGTGTTAGTAAGCCTGATGATGTGATTAGTGTCATTTATTCTGTGACTGACTGCCAGGCTCAGGCAGAAGTTTAGAGGGAAAGACACGCTGGGGCTGGAGTAGGATCCCAGTCCCTGAGCCACAGCTGGGCCCTTCACCCCAGAGTGATTAGGAGAGGGTGAGGGGTGACAAAGACTGTCTTCTTGACCAAGTTTGAGTCGGGGTCCTCTGAGCCCTCTCCTCAACAAGGCCCCCCATCCAGGGCTCTGTCCTTGGCTCGCTTAGTCCAGTTTTAGCCAAGAATCCTACCAGGTCACGACAGCAAAAATCCCCCTTTCTTGGTATCTGCTCGCTTCCCCCACCACCAGTTTTGTTGAGATGTAACTGACAAGCAGCACTGGGTAGGTATAAGGTGTGCAACACACTGACTTGGTTTACATCTGTTGTGAAATGACTGCAATGAATTTAGTGAACATCCATTACTTTACACAGATACAAAAAAAAATAAGAAAAAGAGGTGCTTTCTTCCTGATGATGAGAGCTCTTTGGATCCACTCTCTTGAAAACTTATAGCAGTGGTAACTAGAGTCATTATGTGGTACATTACATCCTCAGTACTCCTCTATCTTGTAACTAGAGGTTTGCACTTCTTAATCACCTTTATCCAATTCCCTCAATCTCCACACCCCACAAATCTGATCTCTTTTTCTATGAGTTTCAGTTTTGTTTTTGCCTTTTCTTTTTTTTTAATTAGGATTCCACACATAAGTGAGATTATATAGTATTTGTCTTTCTCTGTCTGGCTCGTTTCGCTTAGCACAATGCCCTCAAGGTACAACCATGTTGTCACAATGGCAGAATTTTTTTATTTTTTATGGCTAAATAGTATTCCACAGCATGCACACGTGCATACACACACACACACACACACACACACACACACACACACACACTTTATCCATTCATTCATCAATGGATACTTAGGTTGTTTCCATGCCTTTGCTACTGTGAATAATGCTACCGTGAACATGGGGGTGCAGATACTTGATCACTCTTGATAACTGATCAAATTCCTCATCTACACCCTGTATGTCATATCACCCTGGCCTGCCTGCAGCAAGAATCCTGTTGAGTCAGTCTATTAAGAACCCTCCAAACCTCAATGTTTCTTCTTAGTAATTTTCCATCCACTGACCCCACCTGCTTCTTGGCTATAAAGCTCCACCTTCCTGGGGCGCCTGGGTGGCTCAGTTGTTTGGGTGTCCAACTTCAGCTCAGGTCATGATCTCACAGTTTGTGAGTTCGAACCCTGAGTCAGGCTCTGTGCTGACAGCTTGCTCAGAGCCTGGAGCCTGCTCCAGATTGTCTCCCTCTCTCTCTCCCCCTCCCCACTCACACTCTGTCTCTGTCTCTCCCAAAAATAAATAAACATTAAAAAAAAGGTCCACCTTCCTTGCTGTATTTGGAGTTGAGCCCGATCTTTCTCCCCTGCTACAAGCCCCCACTTTAGTAGTACCTCCTAAATAAATTCTTCTTTATCATCTTTAACCAGTGGCATGAATAATTCTCCTTTAACAGGGTCCACATAATGCTTATAAGCCAGCTCTACATCCTTGTGAATCTAAGGATAGTCTACTGATCAACATCTGGGAGGCCTTACCCTAGACCCTCTGAATCAGAATCTGTATTTTAACAAGAGCCCAAGGCAATCTGGTGCACTTTAAAGTCTGAGAAGTACTACTTAAATCTATTGGATTTTCCTTTTCTCAAGAATAAAGGACCCCACCATTAAATGGGCTTTCACTTTTTTTAAGGCAAAAAATGTAAACTGAAGATGACTGATAAAAATCATGTTAGACATTTGCATTTCATGGGACTAAGTCAAATCTGGGCTGTTCACTTGCTCTGATGCCAGGCCAGGCAGCCAGGGTGGAGGACAATGACTTAGGCTGGGGTCTTTCAGCCTTCGGGCCTCCCAGGCAATTCCCAAGCACAGTTTAATCTGGCCAACTCATCACATTACAAACACAAAGGTGCACAAGCAGCATTTCACTCCTAAAGTGGGGATCAGGCTCCCTGAGCTACCATTGGCTAGGACCTGGCAGGCATCAAAGATGACACATGGTTTGCTTTGAGAAGCACTAACTATAGCTCTCTCAATTCTCCAGAAGTTTCCTAACACAAGTGATGAACCGGAGTCCCAACACAGATCCTGGCTGGAGGATCTGATTTCAGAATCATGGAAGAAATGAGATAAATGACGCAGAATTTCAGAAGCAAAATCTGAAAGAAGTTACCTTGCACAAGGCAGTTCTGTAATAGTGGCAAAGGACTCTGTTGTTACAGGGCTCACTTGTCAAAATTGACACAGTACATGAGAGGAAGTCGATACTAACTGATGGAACGTCAATTGATTTACAGTAAGCATGAAGAAGATAGGGAAAACCAGTTAATAGCTCTGCAGAGCAGCAGGAGTTTTGGAAATTATCTACAAGACTACAGATACATATATATAATAAACTGAGAGCTGATATTAAAAATATGGGAAACACCCAGTTTAAATACTGCAAACTCTTCAATCTGCACTAAGAATATGTTTTAGTATACAGCTTTATTGAGATATAATTCACGTGTCATACAAGGCACCCATTTAAAGTGTCCAATTCAATGGGTTTCGGTACACTCACAGATTTGAATCATCACAATGAAAATTTTCAAACATTTCATTAACCCCTCCCCCTGCAAAGAAACCCATACCCATTATCAGTCATTCATTCTTCACCCCCCTCCTCTGGCACCCCTTCTCCGCATGGTTCTAGGCAACCATCAACCTATAATCTGTGTCTTTAGATTCACCTATTCTGGACATTTCACATAAATGAAATCATACAATTTGTGCTACAGGTACTCATTTAATGGACAGCCACACTTGCAATTAATCTCCTCAAACGTTTCAAATGCAAACATTTTAAATTACTCACACAATGAAGCAATCAAGCCTTCGGAATCTGCGATGTTTCCTACGAAAGACAAGTAGACAAAAGGGCCTTCCTGGAGAGAAAATGAAAACATGCTCTAATTCAGCATCACAACCACAGGATGGCACCGGAGATACACGGCTTCACATGGCCACGTCCCCAGGAGCCCACCTCCTGGTCTGCTCCCTCTGAACGTCGTACCTGCAAGCACCTACACAAGCCGGTGGGGTGTGATCCTAGAGACTGATGCCCAGGCCTTGCAGACAGAGGGAAGGTTTATATAATAAATGCTGTTTTTCAATGATTGGCATTATAAATTTAGAGGTGTGTTCTTATGGGAAAAAATAAATTGAAAATTTTGCACAAGGAAAGAGCTTAAATGTTATATTAAACAGGCTAAATTCTGGATGATTCCAAAAATTTTGCACCTTTGAGAGGTACCTCACAGCAGTTCATTTTGTCTTGTCTCAAAAAAAAAAAAAAAAAAATCCAAGATCTCTCTTAACAAAAGTGGTATTCACCTATCTGTATCAGTCAGACCTGAAATAATTCTTTTTCCTGCACATAGGGCAAATTTAGGAAAATTAAAACACTTCCAGGCTACATTTTAAATTTTAGGTAATAAAATACCTGCAATCACACTTAGTATTTTTCTATCACCGAAATGTTTCTTTGCTTAAAATTTCAAAACTAATTAATTAGAATTCACTGGGGAATCTGACTGGCATGCTGCTCCTTTGAACAAATTAAAAAAAAATTTTTTTAAGTTTATTTATTTTTGAGAGAGAGAGCACAAGCAGAGGAGGAGCAGAGGGAGCAAGGCAGGAGATCTGAAGCAGGCCCCATGCTGTCAGCACAGAGACCGATGTGGGGCTCAAACTCACAAACCAGGAGATCATGACCTGGGCTGAAGTCAGACACTTAACCGACTGAGCCACCCAGAGGTCCCTCCTTTGAACAAATATGATCTCTGGTCAATACAACTTTTTTTTCCCATTTCTTTTTATCAACGCAACTGCTTATATGACATTAAAATCATATCTCTCCCTATTCCCTGCTCACTTATAGTGCTGCTTCCCAGAGTTCACCATTTAGAGCCACTTCTGTATTTAGTTCCGGGGATTATTGTCCTAACTCACAATATACTTGACACTGCTATTTCTTTAGACATTCTCAATTAACTGCCAATCCTGAAAAACTATGATTTAATAGATGTCTACCCTCTGCTTCCCCACACTCTACAGGTTTTTGGACAGCATAGGGGTGGAAAACCTTCCTTCTGAGCTCTTAGACCCAGGAGCTGGCCTAAGAGTTAACTGACATGATGGACTAACAGGAGGAAAGCATGCAAATTTTATTTAATATTTTTACATGTACATGGAAGTCCTTAAAAGGAAAACAAAGACCCAAAGAAGCTATTAGGCCAAAAGGTTTACATACTTTTTTACACAAAGAACAATAAATTATGGAAATGTGACAAGACAAAGGGGCTTGGACTAGGGACAGTAAATTGTGGGAAAGTGACTAAGAAATATATGAGGGAAACTAATGGAAGATAAGGGTTATTTTAGTAGGTTTGTTTGTAGAGGCCCATTTCAGCATCGACTCCCAGTCTCTGGTGATAAGAACATTCTTCTCTTCCTGGTACAGGGAGGGCACCTTTCTCATGGGAAATTTAACGATCTGATTTTAGGTAGAAAGGAGGAGGCCAGAAAGCCTAAGGTAGAAAGCCTTCCCACATCTGCTGCTTTCCAATTGCCTTCCACTCAAAATAATCAAAATGCCAAAGTGGCATAGCTTAGAGTGGCATGTCCTAAACCTTTCAAATAGCTATATTATTCTCTTTAATTCTTCCATTAGCCACCCAAATTTGTAACTTAAGTAGTAAACTTAAAACCTCAACTTACTCATCAGTGTTGCACAGCATCTGAGAGGAGAATGCTAGCCCCCACCATGCTTTCTTCTTTTCTTCCCCATTTCCAGTGCCCCACTCTTGTCTACTTTGTACATTGCTGAGATTGATTACATTTCCATTCTTGTTCTGTAAACGTTATTTGTCTTCCTATTTTATTTATATGTAGATTCTAAAGGCTGAAAATCAACAGCATTTACAACACGGTGATTATGTAAACGTCATTCACTGCAAAGGGCTGCAACTTCTCTCTCTCCAGATTGAGTATTTTGACTTGTCATTTAAGAAGAATGTGGCAGCTGGAATATCCCTTATTACACTCACAAATTTCTCAAAATCATGCTGTATTTTAGTTTGCTACATATTTGGGCCCTGACTTTCTTATATTTCTGTTTACATTACAGTTTGTAATTGCCTTTCTTTTCTCTGACTGAGAGAAGAAATCTGATTTTCTCCCCATCTCATTAATATCTTCCATTTTCTTACCCATGCTAATCCCTGCCAAACAAGCTTTAAAGTTGGTTTGTTTTGTTACGTTACTTACTTGGTAAATGGGGTTTACCTCAGAGTATATGTAAACATTATATTCTTTAAAGGAGATTTTAAAAAATTACATAGGAGATAAACAGCAATATTTAAAAATAAGAAGTACTCCCCATCCACTTTGAAACACTTTATTTTCACCAATCAATTTTTTTTTTTTTTTTTTTTTTTTTTTTTTAGCAGAAACATAGCAGGAAATCCACACCACTTCCCTGGCTTGGCCTGGGGACTTTCTAGATAAAATACAGCCACTGGTCTGGCCAGTGGGAGCAATAAGTCTGGGCTGAATTTGACCCTCTATAGGGCTCAGTCCATCTATCTGTAAGATAAAGGACCTCCTAAAATTAGATTGTGGATCTCATCCTAAAACTAGACATGACTTCCAGTCACAATCTCTTTAACTGGAGCATTAGTAAAACACAGACTCTGGCATTAGGTCCAGGACCTTTCCTCAGAAGCAACTCTGTGAGTAAGAACAAGATGGGGATCTGGCAATCTATAACAAGCAGGGACCTATGAGTGTTTAACAAAATTTCTCCCTTTTATATCTACCTGTTTAAGTTCTATTACTTTTTCAAATGCCAGCTCAAATCCTTCCTCTCCAAGAAATCTTCCCAAACCTCTTAGCGACGAATTTCTCAATCTCCTGTGTTCCTAAGTTTGTGCTTCTATAGTCAACTGTCTGCTGGTTATGGATCTCCCGTCCTCATTGGATCAGACATCTTTAGGGTCTGGGATGTTGTCTTATCTTAGAATCTTTAAGAACCCAGGATGATATTTTGTGTCCAGTGTTTGCTAATCTTGAATTAATGACAAGTTCATATAACGAATTACTTAGAAAGATACCTTGAGGGGCTTTTAGAAGGCACTCTATATTTCTTACTATATTAATGTCTCAAATGTAATGGCAGTATGCAGCTGACTGTTTAACAACACAGGTTAGGGGCACCAATCCCTGTGCAGTCAAAAATCCATATATAATTTTTAACTCTCCAAAAACTTAACTACCAACAGCCTACTGATGACTGGAAGCCCTACTGATAACATAAACAATTGATTAACACATATTTTGCATGCCATATGTATTATACACTATATTTTGACAATAAAGTGAGCCAGAGAAAATTAATTATTAAGACAACCATAAGGAAAAAACACTTACAGTATTGTACCGTATTTATCAAAACAACCCACATGTAAGTGGACCTGTGCAGTACAACTCATGACTTCAAGGGTCAGCTGTAATATATGTAAAGTATAAAAAATATATTCATGCCTCCACATGCTGATTGGATGCTGCCTCTTCCAGGCAGCAAGGCTTCCCTGATTCTCTTGGTGGGAAGTGGGTGCCTCTCCTCCATAGAAACCTGCTTGCTTATCTCTTCCTCAAAACCGTCAGTTCCTTTAGGGAAAAGTCTTTGTCTTTTATCTCTGCATCCCAAATGCCTGATAGATGTACATGCTGACAAATGTTTACTAAAAGAATAAGAAGAGGGGAGTAACAGTTAAACCACCACTACCACCCAAACAATCCATTTAGAAAATGGGCAAAAGAAATGAAGACACATTTCCCCAAAGAGGATATACAGACAGCAAACACATGAAAAGATGTTCCACATCATTAGCGGACAGGGAAATGCCAATTAAAACCACAACGTGGGGCGCCTGGGTGGCTTGGTCGGTTGGGCGTCCGACTCCGGCTCAGGTCATGATCTCACGGTCCGTGAGTTCGAGCCCCACATCGGGCTCTGTGCTGACAGGTCAGAGCCTGGAGCCTGTTTCGGGTTCTGTGTCTCCCTCTCTCTCTGCCCCTCCCCTGTTCATGCTCTGTCTCTGTCTCAAAAATAAACAAACGTTTAAAAAAAAAAAAAAAACACAACGAGTTGGTACTATACACCTATCAGGATGGCAAAATAAAAAATAGTGACCACACCAAATACTGACAAGGATGTGGATCACATTTCTGGTGGGATGAAAATGATATCATTCTGGAAAACCAGAGTCTGAAAGTTTCTTCTAAAATGAAGTACGCAGTCACTATTGGACCCAACAACTTTCTTAAGCACTTATCCCAGAAAAACAAAAACTTATGTTCACACAAAAACAAGCACACAAATGTCCACAGCAGCTTTATCTGTAATAGCTTAACGCTGGATGTCCTTCAACAGGTGAATGTTACACAAACCTCAGTCCATTCATACTGGAGCACTCCCAAGCAGTAACAAGGAATCAACTATTGATACACTCAACAACGTGGATGGATCTCCAGGGGATTTGCTGAGCAAAGAAAGACAACTCCAAAAGACTATATACTCTCTGATTCCATTCATTCATTCATTCATTCATTCATTCATTAAAAATTTATTTATTTTGAGACAGAGACAGTGAGAGTGGGGGAAGGGCAGAGAGAGAGAGAGAGGGAGACAGAGAACCCCAAGCAAGCTCAGCACTGCCAGGGCAGAGCCTGATGCGGCCTCAGACTCACAAATTGTGAGATCATGACCTGAGCTGAAACCAAGAATCGGACGCTTAACCGACTGAGCCACCCAGGTGCCCCTCTCACTCCATTTATATGACGCTTTTTGGAATGATAAATTTTAAAAATGGAGGACATATTA